ACGCTGACCGGTCGAGTACGTCAAACACGTTTTCCCCCGTACATGTCCCAAATATCCCCATACTCGCGTGTTTTTCTTCTTCTTACTTCGAACTTGCATTCATGTAGTGACCTTGTACTTGCTTGTAATGTGTTTTCAATTAAGCAATATTTATTTCAATGTTTAACACGTGTTTATTGAGACTGTACAAAGGACAAAACATCGTTACTTAACGACAGTAAAAAATGTGTTTTGAAATAAAACGGTGATTTTTTTTTATACGAGAAATTGTTGTCCATGGTGGTAATGAAGTGTGAATGCGAACAGATTGCAAAAAATGTGAAAACTGTGGTCGATACAGTCTGTTAACCTGATAGCGTGAAACTCCCCTGACCGGAAAAGGGTTAATTATTTTAACTTTTATTTTAAATATTTCAATGTAAAATTAATCTGCTTTGATAAAAGTGAAAAAAGATATATACTTTTCGTAATCACGTCTAAAATACGTATTTTGAGACATTGCCCTCTTACTTGGCAGCCATTTTACTTTGATTTTGAACAGCGGTGTCTTCTTGCATTAAAGTTTTGTTGTGTGTTAATTTTTTGCATTGTGTTGTGTGTTAAAATATTTATTTTATTTTCGATTTTTGATACGGAACAAAATTTGGAAATATGAAGAAATAATTTCACCACAAAAACCAATGCAAAGATGTGCACATTTTGTAATTTTCAACAACATTTCAGATGTGTTTCTCTTGAGTGACCCCATTAATAGCATAAGGGCGAAATAATGACAGGATCAATCTCCTTAAATTGAAGATTCAATCACTCACCTTCATGCTTCCATTTCTTCCATTCTGATGCCTGAAACATAAATAAAAGGAATTATTGTTAAATTTGAAATAATGATCTAACACCCTTTTACCATGATTGAGAAAGCAACAGAGACTCATGGGTAATAGGCATTCCAAGAGTGTCAGTTGACAAAAAGCCCATACATCCATAAAGCGTTTTTTGTTTGATGAATGTAGTACCCAGATATGACTGTTGAATTTGTACCTAGTTTACAATTGAAAATCAGGCCTTGTTTAAAAAAACGCTGCAAGGTTTTAATGACCCCCCCCCCCCCAGGATAAAATGAAAGCATCATGGCTAATTTGCATGCTAATTGGCACAACTTTTACATACTAATTAGCATAATAATACAACACAAATATCAACTTTGACATATGGAATAAAACAGACATGAAATTGTTAACGTAGGAAACAAAACCAGCAAAACAGGATGTAAAATGGAGCTTTATAAGCACCTCTCATTGATAAAGTCTATAGTCGGGCAATAATCTACTAATTTTTAGCTCTCAAAACGAATGGATACAGATTCTATTAGTGATTCAGCTTCTAATACGAGGGCTGTACTACTGCAATGGGAAACCTATTTTGAGTATGAATGATAGCTGGTTAATAATCTTTTTATATGTGGTACATGTATATCTGTCTTGTGTAAGGCATCATTAGGCATGTACATGTAATAGAAAACATCTTGGCTCAACTTACTACTATGTTATGGGTGGTAGTTTTATTGTTGCCTCCAATCACTGAGCAATGTAGCTGACTAAAGGGTGCACTTTGAGAAGTACAAGAGAGCATGTTCTTTATCTTAGTATCACAGCTTTTTCAATCGATATATCATGGCTATTAGCCTATTATACAAATATTCAGAAAACAAAACAAGCCTCTTGAAAACTTTCATAGTTAATTTTGTTTGGAGATTGAAACTAACTCAAAGTTGCAGCTACTACGGCATACTGCTCAAAATTACTAAGTGTTCAAAACTATATAAAAATGGCGCCGCTGACAGTGCGCGTCGCAATGTTTATGTCCAATTGCTTAATTTGCACGAGTAAGCAAGACCTTTGATAGGCAATATGCAAATCGAGATTGTATGGGTCATAATTCATACAATCACGCACATGTGCAATTATTCTCAAATCATTATATTTCCTCGTTTTTTTTTCCTAATTGTTATCATTACATTATGCGGGGTGTAAAAAGAAAGAGACGTAGAAAGAAGATTCAGAAGATTTCTATGTCGGAAGAGGCTAAAGCTACACTGAAGGCATCAAACCGCGTGAATCCGAGTTTCTGATTGACTGAGAGATTTTATTTTTAAATACAAATGTAATTGTTTTTAAAAAATAAACTGAGCATGTGAGAATAATTTAACATTGTTTACAGTGATAACAGCTCATTGTCGAAACGAAGCACACTGTCTAGAATCCCCATTTTTTCATTTGCTGATATCTATACTGAAAAATTTGACCGCTCGAAAATGCACCTTAATTTTGCACTCTAAAAACATGTCAGATTTCCAACACAAATTATTTAAAAACGGCCGAAATTTTAGAACTTTTACGGTAGGTGCTGGAGCTCTCTTCTTGCAGGTGACCGTCGCCGGTAGTACAACAGCATGTTTTGTACGTACATCTGTACGCTGATTGTCTGCGGCTGTTTTAGAAAATCCCTGAATGGGACGTACCAAAATCGGGGGAAACAAAAATAAAAAAAAATGCTTCCTTAAAAAACGAACATAATTCAAATATTTCTTTTAACAAATATGTTGCAGTGGGAAAAATGGGATTGGAAGCGCTGAACAAAACTTCTGTGCCTTGTGTTTCGATTCTAGGGTTACGCGATTATTCATTATTGTGCGTTCACTTTCTGGAGTTGGTTCTCAATACTACATAAAAATCATCGAGGATAAATAATCTAATAACCCAGTTTGTACTACATGGTTAACCATAGGCTCTGAAATACTCGTGGATTTTTTATTGAAAATACATGGAAAAGAAGCAATGTTTTGATCGTGATAAAAGGTCACCTTCTTAGAACCGCCCCCTGTTTAATAATTCATGAGATGACGTCACATTTACTGGGCATTGCCACGTGTTATTACCGACCCCATCAAAACATTGGTACGAATGATGTGTTTCTGATTTATATACTTACCGGTAAAAGCAGTTGTTCTTGTTCAACGATTTTACATCAAATGTCTATGTCTATAACGTTAATTTTCAATTTCATTAGTCTAGAAAGTCTGACGAAGTATGACAAAGCAGTAATTCTCGGTTTAACACGCAAATATGCAAATTAGCCTTTTTCTCGTCTTCTATTTTTGGTGAATTCTTGAGTTTTAAATTGAAATAGCTGATAGACGCTTTGGCCATTTGTCTTGAAATTTTCACACATTATTGACAAGGTACTCCCCTTCAAAATGCATCCAGGCAGTTTATTACGGCGAGTGGAACAAAAATAACAAGTCTACAATTAATTTAAATATATAAATTATGCAAAAACAGGAAAAGATTGAACTTTGAAGTCATGCTGTGTGACTTTGAAAGCCGTTAGAGAGATGAGTGGACGCATTTGAATTAGTAGTATACCAAGGTATCCAGTGATGTAATTTTACCCACAAACGAACTTGAAGTTTTTAAGCTAATTTTTTTTAAACCACTTTTGCCCAAAAAAGCATATTTTTGACCCAAAATCAAAAACGCATTCTGGATATTTAAAATAAAGACAAGTTTTGCAAAAAGTTTGTATAATAAGATTTCAGAAAATATATACTAGTAACATGTTGGATACATACTACCATCTTCATTGTCTAATTACTCAATTAAAAAGCAAGCAAAATAAACTGCATCTCTAGCTTAATCAAGTATTATTTGTAATAAAATAGTCATACCTTCTAATATAAATCTTTGTCAAAGTAAAGTAGTTAATAGCAAATAAAAAATAGTTCACCATCTTCATGCTTATTGGCAATTATTCAGTTTTCAAAAAAACTGCCGAAATATAATTACATGGTTTTAGATGTCAGCATCTGGTGATTTTTATTTATTATGATGGAAAAAATTCTTTTTTTACATCACCAGTAAAACTTAAAATTTTCAGCTTAGATTTTCTGTAAACGTCAAGTGTTGTTTCGCAACTTCATCTTTCTATTTACACCCCAGATAACACACGCCAGCTGACTGTGCCTACAATCTCCAATTTTAAAGTGAGTAGCCCCTCAAAAACCTCAGCGCCCCCCCCAACCATAAATTCTTCACATAATACATAATAATAAAAATATATATAGATTACACATTTGCACTATGAATTGGTTTATAATGTTTCAGATGCAAAATTCTACACGTGTTTCCGGTATGGGATTTTGTTTTGGCCCTTAGGATCTGTTCCAGTGACTTCGTACTTGTGTGGTCGAAATCTATTTCAGAGAAAACGAAGCTGTAGTTTGGCAAACGAGGGCCGCCTAAAAAACAATTTGTGAGCGAATGTACCCTCAAGCAGACAAAAAGTGAAAACTCACAGGACTATCAGGTGTTGGTCTTTTCATTGATTTGGAAACTGCGCTGTCTTCCATCTTGCTTTCATTTGCATGCTTGCATCAACTCCCTAACTTTCTCAAAATTTGTTCATTGACACGAATTTGCCTAATAGAAATTATAAGTAGTTCTATCCTTGAATTTTGAAATGAATATCATTATCATTATTATTATCATTATTTAGATTTTGATAAATGTCGCGAATTACTTATAAAAATCAATTGTACAAATTGTAACTTGGGTTACTTGTTTTTTTACAATAAGCTACGGGATCTTAATCTGCCATCATTTTGTTTCACACACACTCTATCTTTCGCAATGCCGTCGGCGGACACAGAGTAAGCATATTTTGAGTTTGTCTTCTCTTTTAGTGGAATAGTTTGTTTGTCAATTAACAATTATGTGTTGTCGTTGTTTTATTTTACAGCACTAAGCCTAGTTGGGCCGATCAAGTGGAAGAAGAAGTTCCTGGAGAAGACGGTGAGACGATCACGTATTTCCTCCACTGTTACTGTATACATTAGTAAAATTGCCATATTTCGTTCTTCTCACTTTCTCTTCGGACGTCACCGTTGTCGTTTTATACTTACAGTTGATTAGAACAAACCACCACGAAAAAAAAGCCTACATAAGTCTTTGTTGTGGTGTCAGTGGTGTGTGAACCATGTTTAGTACTTGTAGCGTGTGTGTGTAATAAGTTGAGATTGGGGGGGGGGGGG